GCTTTTAGGCGACGATTGCAATTACATCCACATTTTGTAGTCTATGGCAGGATAATTTGATGGCAAGTGGCGTTGGCAACACGAGTGCTTAAATCCTTACATTTACGACCTCCATTCAAATTTTTTTGATTGGAGTGCGTGCACGAGGCCCTGAGCAAAAAAGAAGCCCTCCGCCAGCTACTTTTGAAGTCCTCTTCTCACGGAATACTGACGCCTGCCTAGGGCTACATGGTTATATTCGTAAAAGTTTTGGTTGGAGAATTTGGTTCAAAAAGCTCTCTGATCCTTACAAATTGTAACTAGAATTATAGGCAGTAGACACAGAGGAATCATGAATACTTTGCTGCATATCGCAGATCGACACGCAGTGGGACGTATGTGACCTCATCTTTTCGTTTGACTCTACAATTGAGCGTTTTAAAAATCGTGGCATTTTCTATCTGATTCATCAGTAAACAACTTAAAGAGGTAGGTCACAATTGATCTGGATGACTGCTTGGCGTCCGGACCACGTCCCTAGTTCTAAGCTCCACAAATCTCTATCGACTCGCTCTTTGCCTGCATACTAGGTTCCGTTTCAACGTCACGGGGTGTTACAGCCAAAAATTTGAGAGCACGGAAAGTTGATGGAGAATGCATCGCAATTTTCGCACTTAATGACAACCAATGATCATTTGTGATACTCGTCTCCGCTTACAGACTGAGAGTGAATTATGTAACTTGCCGACTTCAGAATGCATAGGTACTCACCTCATTCTCCCTCGACAGGCACGTGAGCAGCAGGGTCCACGAGGGTCCACTAGCTGGATGCCAGGTTCCGTGCAGTTCTTGTGACACTTCCACAACCTTATTGGCTCATAGTATTTCAACTTAATTCTTCGGTTCGCTGACTTTGATATGCATCCAGGACAGATGTCCGTCATACCTCAACGGAAACGGGTAAAATATTCTCTAAAATTTATCAAATCAAAAGTGCACGCTTTATCACGCTATTGTTCCACCTCTTAGTGTTTTCCTTGTCAACATGGAGAATACCGCGATAACAAAAAAACAACCTAAAAACAAGGAGAATATTACATGGGATGCCTATGTAAATTAAACGCCCAGTAGTTTCAAACTCATTACTTATTTATTGCCTGATTTACACAAAATTTAACACTAAGTCATCATTGTTATAACCATTTTATGGGTTTTGGAATCACCAACGCCTCCTTTATGACTCGAAACTACAAAGAACCAGTTATTGTATCACCCACCTTATCCATTCTTGAGACAAAGTAGTATCTTAAGTCTACTTTGAAGTTATCACAATAGCTATTTCTTAACATTTCCGTAATAATAGCTATATGTCAAGCACCATTTAAGCTTTATGGTTTAGTGATCAAAAAAGGAGACACGTTAGTTACAAGTAACACTTTTTAAACCACCCAATTGTTGTGAGCCGGTATTTTCGAATGCCTCACGAGAAAAACACTGAACCGTTTGAGATTTCCCCTCCTCTCAAAATCACAAATGATACACGGGCTGCTTTTTGTCAAAAAATGTGAACTACGTCTTAGGATAGAAATAAAGCATCACAATTTAACAGTCGCATTTGAAGGAGCTATTTGCCCCAAACCTGTTCCTCAAATCCACCTCGAAATCACTAACAAAGCTCTCATTTTGGGGCTACAGTGCCTGACAGTAGTTAGGGCTTAAAGAGTTCAAATTTTATCAGCCTCATGAGCACATCTTCACCACCATGGAATGGAGCTCGAGGGATCGGCTCGCTAGTTTGGGTGCTTGGGAATGGGGAGGAAGTGCCTCCGACACCCATCGGTGTGGAGGGGTGATACAGTCACCAAAATTGTTTTACTTTTACATGCAATCAGTTGCATACAAGTTGGTTAATTAAAGGGAATCATTTGTGGTTTTAATCACGAGGACTGATGTTTTATGCTATGTAGAATTTGTAGTACCTATCACGCCACATTTTTGGGGGAATTGCGGTCAAAAAGAGTGCTCTACAGCGCCACAAACACATCCTCGTGCTCATCTTAACGAGAAAAAGACGGAAAGCAGCTCAACTGTTCCTAAGCTATAAGCATGCCTTTTGAACGGAAAAGTATTTACCATAAAAAATTGCGCACAAATTACATCAAGTGACTCGCAATCATGCCAAATTTTATGAGAATTTTGCAACTGAAATCCAAAAAGCAGTGACTAAACGGGAGCTAACCCTGAGGCTTAAGCAAATAGTTGAAATTAGGCGCTAAAACTGTCAAGATAATAAATGTTTTATGAGTATTTTTCATTCAAATGAACTCAGAGAGTTGTTGAGGAGGGAGACTTGCCATTGCCACTCCCCTCTGCCGTGAATGCAAACATTTTAGAGGCAATTTTAGCCTGTAAAATTTATGCAGGGTTGGATTGAGTGAGGATGGAAAGGGATGGTAAGTCAAAGTCATACTTTCAGTGCAGGAGCCACAGTCCGTGTTATCCGAGTAACATCCCGAGGAAGTATCGGAACAGACGACATCGAGGTTCTTCATGATGGTCCTCTGTCTAACCTCAATTTGCCCCTCCATCACCACCCATTTATTAGGACTCACGTTGTGACCTTGAGTGGTGTGGCATTGGCACGGGATTGGCTAAGAGGGTAGAATGAGTGACAGCCGCAGACAATCAATTCTGCCTGCTATTTCAGTGGTGGGAAAATGGATATAGAAGGAATTTATCTACACTCTTTCGGTCAAAGACCAGCTATATCATGCATAATGGTGTAGTGTTCTTCTATTATGTTCCTTTGTGCACATTAAAGACTGTACAGTCCCACATCATTGGCAGTGATTAGGTCGCCGATGGGAAGGCAAGGTGCCGTTTTTTTAATAATCTTCGGATATGTAGATAGTTTATGAGTTTGCCTCAGTTCATGTTTTGTGCAACATGGAAATTTTTTAACGAGCGTGTAAATATGATTAAGTTCTACACACATATCTATTATTACTAGCTATCTGGGCCACCAAAAACTTGAACAAGTGTAACATGGCGTCTAAATGGTGGACTTGCTCTTGAGGTATGGTTACGTTTGAGCCATTCACGACCCACGGGTGTTATGAGGAGCTGATATTCGCAATCAGATGAACTACACATTAAGCAAAAATTGTAGCCATAACGGCAGAAAATTTAACTGTAATTTGAATAAATTCGGCGGTGTAGTAATCGGCAATCGTCATCGATGCAGCAGGTAGTATAATGATCTCGTTTTGAACTTCGGATCAGATATTCGTGAGTGCATTGTGTATGAGGCGGGATGGACTTTGGGAGCAAATCGGGTTCACCAACTTTCATGACGAATACGGGGCGACTTTGAGAATCAGGCTTTTTTATGGGGCCTACAATATTATAGGGCACTGTAGAAGCAAAAAATCTGAGTTGATTCATTCATTAATCCGTCTCATCGCTGAAGCCTGTAAAATCAGGCATATGTTCCAAACGGAATCTCAAATGCTATCTAGTTTCGTCGGTTGAGCAAGGCGCCTAAGATATACGAGGTTCAAGCGCTATGCTGACATATGCGCATATTAATCAATAATCATCGAAATGCTACCACAAGATCTGTTTTAGTGTATGTTAAAGTCTTCGCGCGACTTGAAATTTGGACCCTCGGTGTGTGTATACCGTGACGCAACTTCAAGTGGGCATTCAGGGATCCTTCTGATCTTGTAGATGGGAGCCGACAATTCTGCCATTCACGAGTATTATTTAAATTAATTCTTATTATATGTGAGCAGCTGGTCCGAATTTATTCGTTGGGAAGATTTGGACGGGGATGCGGGACCTGCCGTGGCGTATCACGCGGGTAAGCATTGTGGGATATCAGGCCACAAATTAGGCCCCTAATGGAACGTTTTCATCTAATTCAATATGTTAGAGACAAAAATTGCGCCAACGATAACATTAATGTTAGTCGGTTACCTATGCACTTCTCGTTTCCACCTTGTGAACAGAATTTCATGCGGCGAAGCGGTACTGAAGCCGCTACTTATTCAAATCTGAGTAGATTTTGATCCGTTGTCCTTTATCTTTGTAAGCAATTGTTGTCTCAGTATCTTTGTTGACTATCCTTAGTTCAAGTATGCGTGGGTTGTGAATTGAAGGGTGGAATTCCTAATCTTTGCACCGCTGAGAATGGATCTACCATCCTTTCGTTCGTAAACTATTGCTTTTGTCTTGTCCATTCACTATCCTCCTAGTAAAAGTCGTTGTTACCTTTGCGGTTGTTATCGTCTAAACTTGTAGTTTACTGACATATTTTCGTTGGCCAATATCAATATTGCACACTAGAGCTATTGCTTGCTGCCATTTTCCTTTTTTTTATCTTACCGCGATCTTTTCTGTGTCAAATTCCCACAGGTGCAGTAATGGGTGACTACCTCTTCATTCATGGTGGAATTTCTAATGCTTCTGAAAAGTCTCAAGTTTGCCGAAACTCGCTCTACAAAATTCGTGTATTCCCTTCTCTTGGTGAATGGACAGAATTAACAACAGCTGATTCCCCCTTTTTGAGTCAGCATAAATGTATTCCTCATTACTCCAGCGGTTGCCTTTGTTTTGTTGGTGAGTAAAACTTTTTTTGTAAGGGATATCATAAAATAGTGTTGATTGCACTATTGCTTGGATAAGATTCGTGGTGTGCGCTTTTTACTTATTTTTACTAAGTACCTAACGATTTTAGGAGGCTGGACTGGTAAAGTCAGGTCTGCGGGTGTCCATGTATTCGATACCAATTCCGGACGTTGGTTACCGCCAGCATTACAAGAACCCCATTTGAAGGGCCTCCCAAAGGGCTCGGGTCTTTCGGGTCACTCATTGACTCCTATAGTTACACGAGGCAATCAAGTAGCTGCCCTTGTAATCGGCCGGGAGGGCTCTCTACGTACCCAGCGTAGGCACGGTAACGCCTACATTTTGCGTGGTAGGCTTTCACTTCCTGTTTATCAACTTAATTTAGGTAAGATTAATGGCTCATTGAAGCAAAATGGAAGCGGTGACCCTGGAAGAAGTCAATCATCATTTGTATACACTGAAATGCTTTCGACCACAGCTTCTAGGAGTTATCACACCACCATTCCAGTTGCTGCGCACACTGTGCTCACGGTTGGTGGGCGGGCAACAGGTTTTGCAGAGATTGTCACAACTCCAAACGAAGTTGTACTAGATGTTGAAAGTGGTCAGTGTAAAGCTGTTTCGCGTCTCATCGAAAAGTTTACCGAAACAGAGTCATCACCGATCGCAGAAAGCAAATTGGATAAAATGTACGCTCTGCGACGAATCAGTTTTTTATCAAATACCTTTGGGTTGATGTGGTTATGTATTCTGAGTGAAGGCGGGCGGTGGGTCATGCTCTCGATTCTCAATCAAATAGGATGGACGTGTTAATGCTGTTTTTTTTCTCGTATCAGCTATCAAAATGGTTTAGGATTATAGATGATGCAATTCATCATTCATTTCATTGAATGCCAATCATAGGGGTGCAAATAATCCGGATTGAGAGATTCTTTTGTTCCCTACTCTCCTCTATCGCCTATCTTGCCTTTCCAGGTAGTTAAGTGGTCTTTAAGGCAAATAGCTGCTAAAGCACTTTCATCACCTAGTAGGCTTAGGCTAAGGAATGTTTTTTCATCATTCGGCAAGAATTTCGTCCAAACTCATGGTATTTGTCGCATTTTTTTATGTGTCAGTGGAATACGCGGGCACTATGCCATCGCCGGTGGGCACGGTGTCTTGATTGGCGGAGGCGAGGGGTTCAATGCGCTGAGAAAAGATCCATCGAGTGAAGCCTTCATTTGTCTACCCTCCGTCTCCAACAGCGTCTTTTCGTAAGTCGTAAGCCATTTTGATCCAACAGCCTCAACTTATTTCTACCAGTGAATCAGTTACCATTTTGAATGAATTTGATGGAGATCATGGCATTGTATTACCTAAAAGGATGCTGGCGATTTCAACTCGATAAAAATACACAATCTTTGGTTGACTCTTTTTGCCCCTATTCATTGAAAGTTCGAAGGCTGAGCTGGGGACTACAAAGGATCTGTAAATGGTTGAGCTGCGTGATCTCTATCACTTGAATCTTGACGATTTCTTGAACACTCACGGGTTCTCATGTTGGACTTCAAAGCTTCAAAAGGCGTACTACATTGAAAGGCAGGCTTGCATGCCAGAGCATGTTCTAGACCCCAGGCCACCTAACAAAAGCACAACGGCAGACCCTCTCTGGCGTCTGCTAGCGAAGCCGAGAGCGGAATAAATAAGTCACGCCACTTGTCAGTCCTCATGCAAGGAATCGTCACTTATTCTTCCATCTGCGTCACATAGACTTCCACTTCGATAAAGCCACCCACGTAGTCTTGACAATTAGGATAGTTGTCTTTTTAGACCCAATTTGTCTGACTATGGCGACGATATGTCAGTGACGACAGCGGACGTTCTCGCCTTCTACACACACATTCCCAATTTCCCAATTTGTCAGGGGTTTTTTTTGGGCAGTATTTACGGTTATAGTTTTCTTTCAGGCTTTTATCTCATTTGAATCCTTTTCTATCACTGAACAGTATTAAAGTATGAGTTATTTTGTTGCTTTTATATTGTTTCCTCAGTGATGCTGCACTTTTGTCATCCTTAAACCTTGCAGATAATGGCAACAACAGTGAACATAGGGGAAGATTTATGCGTGTACTTTTGGGGGCGCAGCCTTAGCATTCGTGGTCGAAGTGTCCTCACTGCCTCGACTATTTTTAATCCTACTGGGTTTGGGAAGCAGTGAAAACTTGAGAATGGCGGATTGTCCAAAGTTTGGGTGTCTGATTTTTCGTCTCTTTAGCCTTGGTAAAATGAAGGACCGACGATGCTATGCAGTGTGTGCGGTGAATGCAACCGATGGAACGGCCTGGCTGCAAGGCGGTTTGGGAGGCCAGAAAAAACCCCTTCGCTCACTCGCTCGTCTGATTTGCGCTGATTAAAGGGGAGACTGTGCCTACATTTCTTTCCCTTCGCTGCTATATCTGATTTTGTGTTGAAAGGATTTGTAGATTAAAAGTTAAATATTCGTTCGGGGGGAAAAGTGGATCGCGTGTGTCCCCAAGTGAAAGTCAACGTCCTCTGTCGGTCCTTGAGCAATCGACCGTGCGTGTTGCGCTGTTGTTGCGAAAGGGGTGATGGAGGTAATAGTTGTTTTCAAAAACTTGAATTGCCATGTTTATGAACCCAATTACTTCTTAATATCTTTTTTTTTCTTTTTCATGCGAATCTCTCTTCACGGCTTGAGTATGGGTCGCTTGGAGTTTCGTTTTTCCACCTCCCCCCTTCCCTTGTGATGTGACAACTTAATTTCTAAACCAAATTTTCCTATGAAAGTTTTAAAATAAAAGTATTTTTAGGTGGTGGAGGTGCATTGCATTAAAGGTGAGAGATGTGGGAGATTTCACTCATTGCCTTTTTATTGCCCAAGTTTCCTCCAACTTCATAAAACTTACCCATGGGAATAATTTGTGCGGGTTTCTTCTGTCTTAATGAGGTGCATTTTTAGAGGAAGAGGCACATTAGGAGTCACCTAATTTTACTTGGTTTCCTTCCTGAAGCCCACTTTATCCTCACGATGTTGGGTGTTGTAGCACACTGAGTCTTTTCTGACGACAATAGGAGGCCTCATACTCGGGTGAAATATGCGTCGTGGAAGCTCAGAAGGTTTTGTAGAACTGTAGGGAGGGTGGGAGGGGGGGAGCATGCTGTCTCTCGAGAATGCAAGAGCGGTTCCCTGAACGTCAGTGCAACTGAGTGGGGCAGTTTCACCCTCCTCTTGATCATCCTCCTTCTCCAGCCGTTGCCATGCCTTCGATGCGGTGCGAAAGGTGCCCACGAGCCATGACATTCGGTGTAGGTGAGGAAAGACCTGGCTGCAAATTTAACTCATTCTTTTTGTCCAGCATATTGGATTTGGGTTGGTGAATGTCTTGTTCATCACCAGATTTGCCACTATTGATTCAGGAGCGGTGGCTTTGGCCTCCTCACCTATTCCACCTTCCCTCTTGAGTTCACGGACTTGCGATGGCCTTCGGTGCGTGAGTACAAACTGAACCAACGTCTAACAAGTCGTACTCTCGTGTGTTTAAGTTTAAAAAAACCATTCTCTCTACTTCCTGGCGTCTATTCCTCCTAGTAGACACGATTGAAAATGAAAAAGAGTCGCTACTCGACCTGCATTACCTGATTAGCAATTAGCAAAGTCTGGAGTTCGGCCGTAAACTTCTTGAGGCGCCTTTTAAAAGCACATTTGCATTTTTAGTGCATAGAAGTCCGAATTCACACCTCTAGCATTAGGGAGGGGAGGTAGTAGACAAGCAAAACAAGAAACTGAGTGAAAGCCCAATTCCCCGTAAGAGTATGTCCAAATTCGACACCGAAGTGGTTAAAAGAGCACTAGCAGTCGTTCTGACAGGCGAATCAGATAAGTTGCTGACACGGTGGCGTGTTAAATTCCCATCCATTGTGGTTGAAGTAATTTGTGAATGTTCTTTTTTAAATGCATTACAGCGGGCCACTGTCGTTTCGCTGGACGTCGTGGTCTTTGAACTCTGTCGGTAACCTTTGGACCCTCCTGCAAGTTCACAGTGTGCATAATGCCCTATCACTGTGGCTTCTTTCGCCTCCAGGAGCAGTCCCA